AAGCCTTTCATCATTTTTAAAGTTGCTGCAAAGCAATGCCCACCAATCGCCAAAGTCAGAAAGTGAATTTTCATCTGGTTTAAAACCCAGATTAGATATAAACCAAGAGGCTTTTGCGTGAGGGCGGCTAAGGATAGCATCTTAGCCATGATAACTGAAAGAGAGAAAGCTATACGTATTGATCAAAGGAGGGATGCATTGCCACACACTTCTTAGCTTGCCGTATATAGGCCTAAATTGGTGGAAAAGTCTTCCACAATTAATGAAAGCTTGTGTCATTCAAAGTACTAGAAAATTGTGGAGAAAAAGGACGTAGCAAAGAAATGTTTTACTTCCTCCCTTTAGTCTTGTAATTGCACCAAACCAGAGGTCCTTCTTTAATTTGCGTCTTCACTTCGGATGAACCTGCAAAGCCTCGAGGTGGGTCATCGGGGTAGACACTTCGATACTTAAGTCAGCAATAATCGGGTCTATCTCTAAACTAATGAAAAAGGAGCTTTAGGAAGGTTTCAATTACCTTTTTTATGTGGCCCTTGTGGGGTATTTATAGGCCTTCGTGAGGTATCCACGTGGCTTACTTAGCAGGATGATCGGAGTATGACGTGTCCCTTAAAGAGATAAATTTGGGACCGTCGACAAATTCGGGACCGGGGAATTGTGTGATAAATCAGGTGTGGGCATGCCCACTGTATTTATCGTGCAATCATTTGACCAGAAGTGCTGGATTTAACTTCACTTCAGCTATTAAGGAATTGTTATAGTACGTCCGAGGTTAAGGACCTCGGACCTATCCTTACTCTATTCCCCCCCAAAGTCATTCACTTGTGAATGATGTTGTTAAAGATAATGGGAGTAGTGCATAAATAGAGAGAAAGGGGGACAAAAATATTAAAGATGAGTTACAAAAGTAAAAGTAAAAATAAAAATAAAAATAAGAATCTGTAACTCAAATGCATATATGGCTGTAGCTAATAGTGAAGTATGTGACATGGGGTCATGTTGGCCATGCCCAAAAAAAAATGTGACCGGAACGATTGTAGCCGTAGCTGTGGTAAAAATAATGATTGGAGTTAATGTGGCCGGAGTCATAGTAAGAAATGATGACCAGAGTCATAGTGGCCGAAGCTGTAATAAAAAGTAATGATCGAAATCATAGTGGCCAAGGCCGAAGTACAATATGTGACAAGGAGTCACAATGGCCGGAGCCGAAATAAAATACGTGACAAGGAGTCACAATGGCCGGAGCCGAAGTGAAACACTTGTAAGTTAAAAATATAATTGTGAAAGTGAACAGAAGTGTTGAGGTGGGCTTAAGTGGGCCCGTTTATAAAGTCAGACGTAGGGTTATTATGTGACATGACAGTTGTCTGTTGAAAGATGTGTACAATTAATACGGGCTGAAAAAAGTAACTGTGACAGTCAGACAGACGAAGTGGGAAATGAATCATCGAATTCAAACGGCTGCCATTAGGGTTACACAGTTGAATTCGAAACGGTGTGAATAAGGACCGTTAGATTAAACTAATCCCAGTCGTTGAGAGTTATTTTTGCCTTGAGGTATAAATAGCCATTTTTTTGTAAAAAGAAGTTTACTTTCATTATATTTTCTACAAAATTTCTGTGAAAACTCTACTATGTTTTTCCTACGCCTGAACTGCTGCATCGTTTGTGGACTTCTACATCAAGTTTTCAAAACTGAAATCGGTAATGTATATGATTCTCTGATTTTGATTGTAACAAAGTGTCACTCTCCTTTCGCCCTTTCTGTGTTTGATTTTGAATCCTCTAAAGGAAGTTAGGGTTGGGAGTGAGAATGATATTGAGTGTGCGTTAGAGTTTTTTTTTTTTTTAAAGGGTCCTGACTTCATTCCTCCTCCTATTTCATGTAGAAATTAAAGAGATGTCTTCGGAAGAAACAGTAAGTGTTGTAGGAAGAGAGGTAATGCCTCTGGAGTACGGTGGCATGGACTTAGAGAGTAGTTCGTCTAGTTCAGAAAGGACAGAGGAGGGGGTGGGAGGAGGTGAGGTAGTTGGGGTAAGGGGGAATAATATACCCATTACTGTGGTGGAAGTGGAGGGTAGGAGAGAAAAATGCTACGATGTAGATGCAGATGTAGTGGGGGAGGTGAAATAGTATGAGTCTGAACTCGGGACCAGGGATGGCTTGGGCTATTTGGTGGAGAGTTATGAGATTTCATCTCGAGTTCTGATTAGGCCAGTTGGGATAGAGGAGAGGACGTGTTCTGCTCCTCGGGATCATTGGATGCCCATGTATGCCCACTATTTGGCAGCCGAACTTAGGTTTCCAATTCCTGAGTTGCTAGTGGGTCTGTTGTTAGATTATAGTATAGGGTTGACATAGTTAGTCCCCAACGCTATGAGGGTAATAATAAGATTTTTAGTTTATTGCCGAGCTCAGGGGGTTAATGTGCCAATTGTAAATATGTTTAAGTATTTTTTTTTTTTTTTTGTTTTAAAGGGGGGTAGTAGGAAAGATAAGGGGTGGTATTATTTCACCACTAAGGTAGCAAATAGGGAGAGTAGGGCGTTATTTACTGTGGGTCCTTCATCCATTAAATGATGGAAGGAAAAATTTTTCTTTGTAGATGATACGGAGTGGGAGAGGGGGGATGCCGAGGTAGAACTGTTGTCTTCCTGGAAGGCTAAGAGAGCCAACCAGAATAAGTTTATGAGGATGAGGAGGAAGAGGTGGGGAAGTTGGTGAGGGAGGGGGGGAATTTAGTGAACATCATGTACCTCACCAGCGCAGAATGCATAGAAGCTGCTGAGCTCTATGGGGCAAGCGCTTTAAGTGAAGGTTTGTTTAGATTTTATATTGTAGAGTTTAATGTAGAGTATAGAGCTGTGTGATTGATACTATGTTTTTCTTGTTTTGTAGCTGAAATGGACAAGTTTTTGAGTGCTGCTGGAGGAGTGGCCATCCCCAAGAAGCCAAGGAAGAAGTCAAAGACTTCAACCAAGGAAGTGGATGAAGGAGCTGGGAAGGAGGTAGTGCCCAGCACTTTAGCCAGGGTGGAGGAGGAGGTGCCAAGGCTAGAGTTGAAGAGGAAGGGTAGAGAGGAGGGAGGGGCACTACAAAGGAAGAAAAGGCTGGTGGAGGAAGAAGAGAAGGGGAGCGAGGTTCCCCAGTTCATACCTCAGTCTCCTTCTGTTGAGCTCGACCCTGAGCTCAACGAGTCTGAAGAAGGGGCTGAGGTATGAGCTCCTGGCAAGGGGAAGGGCCTCATTCCCCCTTTGTCCTTTCAGAGCAGTCTATTCGAGGCGAAGAACATGACGGGGGCCAAGAGGTTTATTAATGCCACCTTCCCCGAAGTGGACAAGCGTCACGCACGGGACGAAGCTCTGAGGTACTGTGGAGCTTCGGTGGTGAAGCACGTTTTGGAGGTATGTTAAGTTAATTTACTTGTAGTTGTTGGTGTGTTTGTTTTTTTTTTTTTGTTTTTTTTTTAACTTTTGCTTGAATTGTAGAGCTTGAGCTGGGTGAATGGTCTAGCCCAGGAGTTTATGGAGAGTGTGAAGGAGCATTCCCTCTTGCAAAGGCAGTGTGACCAGCTGCAAAAGGAGAAGGAAGAGTTGGAGAAGAAAAATAAGGAGATGCAAGAGGTGCTGGACGAGGTGGTTCTAGCTGTGAAGCAGCTAGAGCAGGAGAGGACTTCCTTGAGCACCAAGCTCGTCTTTGAGGAGAGCAAACGAAGAATCTCTGAAAGCGAGCATGAGGCTTAGGAGAAGGAAATAAAGCTGATGAAGGAGGTTGTGATGGAGTTGAAGAAGAATGTGCAGCTGTTGGTGCACAATGGGATGGAGGAGCACATCAGCAACTTCGTCAGCTCCAGCTCGTTTGATAGCATTGTCAACCTCTACCGGCTGCCAACTGCCATCCTCGCCTTCACAGACTGTAGAAAGAGGTGAAGGTTAAATATCCTGAAGTGGATATTACAAAGATCACCTTCGGCGAGCAAGAAGAGGGAGTGGAGGAGAATGGTGAGAGCATGTCAGCAGACTTTCGTCCTCAGATCAAATTGAGGTGGGATCGTGATGCAGACGGACGCACTGTTTTCCTTCCAAGTTTCGACTTCGAGTTCATTGTAGTGGAAGAAGAAGAGGTAGAGGTAGAGGTAGATGAAGTGAGGGCAGGAGTGGAAGGAACTGAAGTGGATGAGAGTCAACCACCTCTGTAAGTGGAGATTCATCCAATTCCTTTTGACGATGAGCAGCCTCCTCTACCAAACGAGCAACAGCCAACACAGCCACCTCTTCCAACTGAGCAACAGCTAGTTCAGCCACCTCCTCTAGTAGAGGAATAAAGAATTTTTTATTTTTCTTTGATATTTTGTTGTAATAATAGTAAAACAATTTGTTGTAATACTTTTGTTACTTAAGTTGAATGACAATTTTGTTTTTGAAATCATGTGTGATGTTTGCTATACGTTTTTGTTGTTATATATAAAAACTGAGATTACGTCGGATATGCATTGAGGGAAAGTAAATTATTTCAGAGATGAAATAAAAAGAAGTTAACCACTTCGGAGATGAACTAAAGAGAAGTAAATCACTTCAAAGGAATTAAGAAGAAGTAAATCACTTCAGACGAATTAAGAAGAAGTAAATCACTTCAGACGAATTAAGAAGGAGTAAATCACTTCAGACGAATTAAGAAGAAGTAAATCACTTTAGATGAATTAAAAAGAAGTAAATCACTTCAGATGAATTAAAAAGAAATAAAGCACTTCAAATGAATAAAAAGAAATAAAGCACTTCAGATGTGAAATGACATTCATTAATAGGAGTGAAGTTCAAGGAATGAGTGTTAAACAGATTGACCTCGGATACACAGAATAAGAGGTAAAAGGAATCTTAACAATCACGAAGTAATAAGTATAAAGGGTAGTAAGACATAGATCACTTGAAAGAAGTTTATTAGGGGTAGAATTTCTTTAAGTTATTGATATTCCAAACTCTAGGAACTCTTTTCCCTTCAGCGTCTTGGAGGATATAGGCACCAGGATGTGGCACCTCGGCCACCGTATAAGGGCCTTCCCAATTTGTGGCCAGTTTGCCAAAATGAGTTTCAAACCCTGTTAGGCCAGCCTTTCTTAGAACAAGGTCTCCTATTTTGAATGTTTGAGGGCGGACTCGTTTGTTGTAGAAGTTGGCTAATTTCTACTTATATACAAAAGTTCTAATTTCTGCTTATATATAAGAGTTCTAAGCTGTGCTTCTTTTCTGACATCGGCAAGCAGATCAAGGTTTTCCTGAAACAGTTGTCCATTTCATCCTTCATCGAAATGGGTGATCCGAAGGCTTGGCACTTCTATTTCAATAGGAATAACTGCTTCGGTACCAAAGACCAGGTGGTAGGGTGTTTCACTTATTTCATGAAATTATATTCTTTAGAATATGCTTTACATATTGTGATACACCAAAAATTTCTAGGATAAATAAGTGAGTTAGGGACTAACTTGTGAGGAAAATATTATTTTGGGCTTAATTGCCAAAATTTCAAAAGTTGAGGGACTTAAAAGAGTAAAGACTTGGATAAGGATCAGTTATTTTTCGGCTTAATTTAATTTTTAGTCTATTAACTATCACCTTGATTTCATTTTAGTCTAGAAACTATGTTTTATTTCTAAGTGGTCTATTAACTTTCAGATTCATTTCAATTTCATCTACCTGGTTATCTTTGACGGAAAACTTATTATTCTGTTAGAGAACAGTTAGTCCTCTAACTATATTTATTTTAATTTTTTAGTCCTCAAATTTATATTTACGATAAAAACAACTTTTATACTTAAAATCATTATTTTTAGGTTTTGATATCGAATTTTTATTTAGGTTTTTCTCATTTCTTTAATTCTTCTTAGGGTATTTTCATTAATTGTTTTTATTTTTAAAATATTATCAATTATTCATTAGTTAGAGTAGTCTGAATTAAGTTCTGAAAACCCGAATAAAAATCTGGTATCAGAGCATAGAAATAATAATTTTAAATATAAAAAATGTTTTTACAACAAATATAAATTTGAGGACTAAAAGATCAAAACAAATATAGTTAGAGGACTAACTGTTCTCTAACAGAATAGTAA